TGCGAGCATTGGAGGCTGCAAGCGACATGCAATGCAGAACCGATGAACAACTGATTCCGACTGACTGCAAACCAGCTGATCAGCTGATCAGGTTGCCTGCAAGCCAGCCGATGATCAGCTGATCATGGTTGACTGAACCTGGCTGATGATCAGCTGATCGCGGTTGCCTGAAGGCCGGCCGATGAGCAACTGATCGTGGTTGCCTGCAAACCGGCAGGTGAGCAGTTGATCGTGGTTGCCTGCAAGCCGGCTGACAATCAGCTGATGATTGCCTGCAAGCTGGCTGACAATCAGCTGATTATGGTTGCCTGCAAGCCGGCTGATGAGCAGGTGATCGTGGTTGCCTGTAAACTGGCCAATGAGCAGCTGATCGTGGTTGCCTGCAAGCTGGCTGACGATCAGCTAGTTGTGGTTGCCTATAAGCTGGCCAATGAGCAGCTGATTGTCAGCCGGCTTCCAGTCAGTCAGAATCAGCTGTTTGGCTTAATAAACCATTGGGAACCCAGAGTGAGTGGTGTCCTGATTTTGGTTTAGGTCCAGAGCTAGGACCGCTTCCCCTTCAAAACTAGACCAAGTTGATCACTCGGCTTTCGCAATCGATGCATTTATAGGGTTGGTCCCCCGTATAGCGATTTCGGTAGGCGGGAAGGTTATCGCTGACCACGAAGCTTTTCCCGCACTCCGCGCAGATGTAGGCCTGCTCCCCTGGGTGATCCCGCTGGTGCCTATCAAGGCTGCCCTTACGACTGTAGCTCCTCCCGCAGTTCATACACCTGAAGGGTTTCTCCCCCGTGTGGGTTCTCTGATGCGTGGTCAGGATGGACTTCAGGCTGAAATACTTGCCGCATTCCAGGCACTGATAGGGTTTCTCCCCTGTGTGGGTTCTCTTGTGCCTCTTGAGGCTGCCGCTCCGATTGAAGCGTATCCCGCACTCAGTACATTTGTACGGTTTCTCCCCCGTGTGGGTTCTTTGATGCGCAGTCAGAGTCCCGCTGTCGCTGAAGCTCTTTCCGCACTCAGTACACCGATACGGCTTCTCCCCCGTGTGGGTCACCCGGTGACGGTTGAAGTCGGATTTATATTTGCATATCTTCCCACACACGGGGCACTGGATCCTCCACTTCCCTTGGTGGCCCTCCTGCGGGACTAGGAGGTCGTGGATGTCGGCATCGTGAAAGGTGGAAAGTTTCTTCTCACTCTCTGATGGTCTGGGAGGGTCTTTTGGACTTGGGAAGGCCTCCTTTCCTGCTTCAGGGCTGGTTGTTTCTGAAGACTCCACAGACGATTCTTCGTAACTTTCAGCGTCCTGCCAATCACCTGGGAAAAGGGAAGGGGAAGGAAAGGAAAAAGCAAGAGAGGGAAAGGGAAGGGGAAGGGAAGGGAAGAGAGGGGAAGGCAGGGAAGGGGAAGGGAACAGGAAATGAAAAAGGGAAAGGAAAGAAGGGAGGGAGGGAGGGAGGGATAAAGTCTTAAAAGTTTATCTTTAACATTCCCTCCCAGGTTCTCTCTCAAGAAAAAACTAGGTTATCTGCTAAATTACTTCCAACATATTTGCAGTCTATCTCTCATATAACCATACCAGTAGTCCTCAACTTACCACAGTTCATTACAACGGCACTGAAAAAAAAAGGGACTTTTGACCGTTTTTCACACAGTGAGGGGCTCTCCTCACTTTGTCGGTAAAACATAAAGTCTACACAAAAGTAGTTTGTCGCGAAAGCGACTGCCTGCGAAGGCTCCTGGATTGGGGCTGAAAGGTGAAAGCGGAAGCAGTAGGCTCCATCCCATAATTCGGTAGACCAGGTTGCCCTGATGAAAAACACTTAATCTTTCCTCTGGTATAGCTGACAAAGTGAGGAGAGCCCATGGCTTAGAGGTTAATACATCTACGTAATATGCAAGTAGCCTGGATTCAAAGGGTAAATAGCTTCAAATAGTTTTATACTAAAAAAGTAAAGTTTCCCCTCGCACATACGTGCTAGTCGTTTCCGGCTCTAGGAGGCGGTGCTCATCTCCGTTACAAAGCCAAAGAGCCAGCGCTGTCCGAAGATGTCTCCGTGGTCATGTGGCCGGCATGACTAAAAGCTGAAGGCGCACGGAAAGCTGTTACCTTCCCACCAAAGTGGTCCCGATTTTTCTACTTGCATTTTTTAATGTGCTTTCGAACTGCTAGGTTGGCAGAAGCTGGGATAAAGAACGGGAGCTCACTCCATTACGCATCGCTAGGGATTCAAACTGCCGACCTGCTGACCTTTTCTGATCGATAAGCTCAGCGTCTTAGCCACTGAGCCACCGTGTCTCATTAGATCTATACTAGTCTCCCTTTATTTCTTTGTCAGTAAAACACAAATTCAATCTGAGAAACGCTGCTTTTCATACTGCGCAAGGACAAACAGGAGTTCTTCACCTCAACGTCCAAAAGTCATGCAAGAAGCATCCTTACCCACAGAAGTGACAGTTTCATTGCTCTCCAACATGATTTCCTTCCGTTAAGAGACCCTCTGGCTTTATTTTGAAGGACAACAAATTTCTTCCGCTGCTAAGATCACCAGCCTCTAAAAAGAGGGGAAACCAGTTATCTCCCCAATATTGGACCAGGACACCCCTCTGTCTCAGCCTATCTCAGAATTTTTTTCTAGGCAGGTGGTGTGATGACCCGGGGCGTGGCACAAAAGCAACAAAGTCACAAAAGTAGGTAAAGTCCCTTTAATTCCTCCAACTTGTCCCCCAATGTCCAGTTATCATCGGCTGGAGAAAAAACTCTCCCAAGAACAGTTTTTAAAGGGAAGAAATTCAGTCCGAACTCAAAGCACATATAAATTATAAATACATACCAACACAAACTATGCTGCAGCAATTAACGTGACAGGGCAGGATAAGGAATTGCAGACTTCAAAAGATAATGAAACACACACAGTTGGGAAGATGCCAGAAGCCAGATAGGACTTGACAAATCAAAATAATGCACGCTTTGCTTCCAGCAAGGAGCTGTACGCAAACCCACTTTTTAAATCCTGTTTTCCCAGCTGCAGTTAATGAAGGGAATCAGGGCCCTTTTCTCCTCTGTAACCCATGTTGCTCCCTTCTCTGTTCCTCCCTGCATGCCCTCGGATGAAGAGGGGGTGGGCCTGGTTCTTCCTCTGAATGCCTAGCCAGACTGTGCCCTTCCCCAGTTTCCTCCACAGCCACCGGAGCCACACTCCCACTCCCTGTCAGCTGTTCCACCTCCCCCTCAGAATCAGATTCCAACAGGGGCATGACAGGCGGATGCATTTCCAAGGAAGTCTGTACTTTAACTAGCAGAGCTTCCAGGCATTTTAGTATAAGGGTTGATAGCTTCCCGTTTAGCTTCCCAGCTTTCCATTTTTTTTTAAATTCACAGGATGTTTATAATCTCAAATTGAGGTGTCTATAGAGACTCTCAGTCATCCAGGTCATGATTGCACCAAAGGTGCTTTTGCAAGAGGCAACTGGACTTTCTGGTTTTTCTTTGAAGATGTTTTGAAGCTTCTTCTTGGATGAGAGGCAAAACATCTTCAAAGAAAAACCAGAAAGTCCGGTTGCCTCTTGAAAAAAGCACCTTTGAGATGAACAAATTGAGATTACTGGGAATCAAGCAAAAAGTCTCTAATCAGGATATTGTCGATTTTTCAGAGTTATGAGTGTTGCCACATCCCCGTGTTCATGGGATGTACATTCAAAATGGTTGACAACTGACTCACATTTATGACGGTTTGCAGTGCTTTGGGGTCATATGATCCCCTTTTGCGACCTTCTGACAAGCAAAGTCAATGGGGAAGCCAGATTTCCACAACAACCATGTTGCTAATTTAACAACTGCAGTGATTCATTTACGTGGCAAGATATATGGTAAAAATGGGGCAAAACTCACTTAACAAATTTCTCACTTAGCCACCTAAATTTTGGGCTCAATTGTGGTCGTACATTGAGGACTACCTGTACTTGGGAGGGAGATTTTAAATGCTACTGAAGGTTAGGAAAAGAACACATCCTAACACTAAGAGCTAGGTGCTTGATGTGGTGAGCTCTGCTGATAGATGGTAGAGGGCTAATCCTATTATGTCCTGAGGGGTCATGTCTTAATCCCATCACCCTGCAGCTCAAGATCTTTTGTCTTGTAGACAGGATAGCCCAGTCCTGCTGGGGCTATTAAGAAAGGTGGGGGCTGCTTTCCAAGAGCACGTTTCTCCTTTAGGGAAATATAATATTCTGCCTTTTTAATATTTCTCAAAATGCTTCGTTCTTCTAGGAGAGAGGTGGGTATTAACTTTCTCTACATACCTTTGCATGGAGGCTTTTCTTCAATACTGCAAGATCAATAAAATGCGAGGGTCCTGTAGGAAGGGGGGGAAATCACACTGTTATTCTAAAATAAATTATTCTGAAATATGCCTATAGAGTTCTCTCACTCCTTGTTCACTCCAAGTGAAATCAGAGCAATTGAAACAATACGCTGCCACAAGCGGGCTCAACTGTGGTCGTAAGTCGAGGACTATGTATGTATGTATGTATGTATGTATACACATGCATGCATATAGGTGAGCACGTCCACACACACACACACACACACAGGGCTTTAGGGTAATAGATTTAATCTTTTAATCTTCTGTTTTAATCTTCCGATTTACTCCGCTGGTCCCCCCGCTTTGCAACTGCTTGCATTACCCTTTGCCTGTATTAATGGCAGAAGATTGGGGAGGGAGGGAATTCTTGTTTACAACCCCTGCCTCCCAAAAAAAGCAGATTTCGTTTCCAATCCCATCCTGACCTCGCTTGCCGGAGGGATCCATTCATTGTTTTCGTCCTCCCCCAATTTTATTCCCCCCCTCCACCTACCCTTCCGCCCCGCTCGGCCTCTTTTCCCCCCCACCGGCCCACTTTTCCAGCAACACCAAGAGAGATTGTGTGCGGGTTCTTCTCTTCCCCCGCATTGCCCGTTTCCTGCCTCTCTAGGAATCCCCGCCTTTCCTTTCCTTTTAAATCGCTAAGAGCCGTTCTCCATCGTCGCCCTTCGTTTTGCTGCAAGATTCCTTCTTTCTCCGCTCTCCTTGCATTCGAGCTAATCAGGATAGTGGCGATCAAAGGTCTGGAGGTTTTTGGTTTTATTTTTTAAATTATTTAACGAAATAACAGAGTTAGAAGGGACCTTGGAGGTCTTCTAGTCCAACCCCCTGCTTCAAGGCAGGAAACCCTTATACAGCTAGTCCTCGAGTTACGACCCCAATCCTGAGCCCCAAAATTGATGCTGCTAAGTGAAATGTATGTTTAAATGAGTTTTGCCCCGTTTTACCAACTTTTGGCCACAGTTGTTAAGTGAAGCATTCCATTAACACAGTTGTTGTGAATGTGGCTTCCCCCATTGACTTTGCTGATCAGAGGGTCGCAAAAGCGGATTACGGGGAACACCCCCCCCCCCGCTCCCAGGACATGGCGGGCGTCATAAAGTACGAGTCGTTTGCCAAGCATTTGAATAGAATAGAATTAGATAGATAGAAAGAATACTTTTTTGGCCAAGTGTGATTGTACACACAAGGAATTTGTCTTGGTGTAAATACTCTCAGTATACATAAAAGAAAAGATACATTCGTCAGGAGTCAAGAATCATCAGGTACAACTATCATTGTCATAGGGTTACAATAAGCAATCAAATCATGCTAAGAAACAGTCAATATAGATCATAAGGATACAAGCGACAAAGTTACAGTCATACAGTCACAAGTAGGAGGGGATGGGTGGTAAGGAATGATGAGAAGATTAATAGTAATAGTAGTGCAGACTTTGTAAATAGTTGGACAGTGTTGAGGAAATTATTTGTTTAGCAGAGTGATGGCATTCGGGAAAAAATTGTCCTTGTCTCTAGTTGTTTTGGTGTGCATTGCTCTATAGTGTCGTTTTGAGGAAAGGAGTTGAAACAGTTTATGTCCGGGATGTGAGCGGTCTATAAATATTTTCACAGCCCTCTTTTTGACTCGTGCAGTATACAGGTCCTCGATTGAAGGCAGGTGGGTAGTAATTGTTTTTTCTGCAGTCCTAATCACTCTCAGTTGTGAGCATGGGGGTGCTGCAACCATCCTAAATATGGATTTTGATCGTGTGGCCATGGGGATGGCCCAACGGTCGTGAGTATGAAAAACAGTCGAAAGTCACTTTTTTCCAGTGCCGTCGTAACTTGGAACAACGGTCACTCAATGAACTGTTATAAGTCTAGGACTACCTGTACCCTTTTGGACAAATGGTTGTCCATTTCCCTCTTCTGCGGTTGGAAGGGACAAAGTAGAAATGGTGAAGTTTGGCAAAGACTTGAAAGTCTTCTAACGTTTGCAAAGGTGACAGAATACCAGGTAGTCCTCGACTTATAATGATGATTGAGCCCACAATTTCTGTCGCTAAGTGAAACCTTTGTTAAGAGAATTTTGCTCCATTTTATGACCCTCCCACGGTTGTTAAGTGAAGTATTACAAGTTAGTAACACAGTTGTTCAGGGAATCTGGCTTCCCCATTGACTTTGCTTGTCAGAAGGTTACAAAATGGGACCCTATGAGCCTGGGACATTACAGTGGTCATAAATATGAACCCATTGCCAAGCATCTGAATGTTGATCCCATGACCATGGGGATCAGGGGTAGGATTCAACTGATGTTACTACCGGTTCGGTGAGAGTGCCACCCCTGGTTCGAATCCCTAACACCACGTATCGGAGTGAGCTCCCGTTACTTGTCCCAGCTTCTGCCAACCTAGCAGTTCGAAAGCATGTAAAAATGCAAGTAGAAAAATAAGGACCACATTGGTGGGAAGGTAACAGCGTTCCACATGCTTTTGGCGTTTAGTCATGCCAGCCACATGACAAGGGAGATGTCTTTGGACAGCAGCGTCTCTTTGGCTTTGTCATGGAGATGACGTAGGGGTGGGATTCAAATTTCTTAACAACCGGTTCTGTGGGTGTGGCCTAATTTGTGGGTGTGGCTTGGTGGTCATGTGACTATGGGTGTGGCTTGCTGACTGGGCATGGCTTGGTCATGTGACTGGGTGGGCATGGTTTGTATGTAAATATTATAAATATTTATGTAAATATTGAATTTTTTATTAAAAAAAGAGCAACTTTTACCCAAAATCAGGCAAAGCAGGCAGATTGAGTTGCTTGCAGAATCACAGATTCTTTCAGAGATCTATCTTTCTGACATCGGCTACCTGAGTCTGTCGCATAAAATTAGCTTGCAAGCAAACTCATAAAATTTGCTAGGAAGCACTCACAAAATTAACTCACAACACACCATGTATGTAAATATTGAATTGTTTATTAAAAAAAGAGCAACTTTTACCCAAAATTAGGCAAAGCAGTCAGGCAGATTGAGTTGCTCGCCTCACAGAATTGGGGTGGGGCCAGCCAGTGGTGCGATTTGCCGGTTCTCAGGCAGGTAGAATCCCACCCCTGGTGAGAGTGCGTTTTGCGCACATGTATAGACCATTTCCAAAAAAAACCTCAGCTGTGCCGCCCGGACAGCTGACAAGCACTGCACGCAGGTGCGCAGCATTTGAAAATCTTCTTCTTTCCTGCTTTTTCAATCTCAGCTGTGCCGCGCAAAGTAGCTGAGGTTGGAACAAAGCAGGAAATAAAGAACAGCCAAGAGCTTGGGCAGGCGGGTAGGCCAAACAGACGACCAAAAGGTTGTTGCAGAGAACTGTTTCGGTGTTTGCTGCTCTTCAGAGCTACCGGTTCTATAGAACCGAGCCGAACTGGCAGCATCCCACCCCTGATGGGGATGCTATAACGGTCGTAAGTATGAAAACCCCTCATAAGTCGCTTCTTTCAGTGCCATAGTAATTTCGAAAGGTCACGAAATGAACTGTTGCAAACTGAGGACTAGTAACCCAGTTGTTCAGTGAATCCCCATTGACTTTGCTTGTTAGGTGGTTACAAAAGGGGACCCCAGGACACAGAAAACATCATAAATATGGGTCATTTGCCAAGTGTCTGAATTTTGATCCTGTGACCATGGGGATGCTGCTGCAATGGTTGTTAAGAATGAAAAGTGGTCCTAAGTCACTTTTTTCAGTGCCGTCGTAACTTCAAATGGTCACTAAGTGAATTGTTACAAGTGGAGGACTACCTGTAACAGAGCAGGAAGGGACCTTGGAGGTCTTCTAGTCCAGCCCCCTGCTTAAGCAAGAAACCTTATAACATTTCAGACAAGTGGTAGTCAGTGGTTTCAGACAGTCTCTTCTTGAAAGCCTCCATTTTATGAAGCACCTACAACTTCTGGTGGCAAGTCCTTCCACTGGTTAATTGTTCTCACTATCAAGAATTTTTTTCCTTAGTTCTAGGTTGCTTCTCTCCTTGATCAGTTTCCATCCCTTATTTCTTGATAAAATATAAATGCACTAGCTCTATACCCGTGCTTTGCTACGAAACTATGTGATCAGGCTTAGTTTCTGCGGAGAAAAATAAGGGGGAAGAAATTTTGCCTCTGCCTACCAGCATCCATCGGTATTCATCTGACTAACATCCTGTCAGTGGTGTGAGAGTTGAGGGCTGTTTGGAAACTGAAACAGTATTTGCTGTGTGAGCAAGGAGACAGCAAGGAGCCTGGGCGTGGATTAGCTCAACTGTTCCTTACTAAACTGCTTGGTGCTGTGATGCTAAAACTGAAGCTCTTCTATTCTTGTATTTTGCATTTGGAACAGATTTCTTGTCAAGTGGGGAGGGGGAGTAGAACTCCTTAGTGTTAATAATAATATACAAAATCCTAATGCTCTGATGGTCCTTTCAAAAAATCCTTTCTTAGTGAGCACCTACAAGCCAAGAGGAACATAGGTGCCAAATTTCAAGTTTGTAGGCTTTACGGTTCTGGAGATTTCTTGATGATGCATGAGTGGTATTTCGCTTTTATAGATATAAATTTAGAACGGCGGTAAGGTAAAAAAAAACAAAAACAAAAGTTGCTTCTTGAATTTTTTTTCTTTATTTTTAATTCGTTTCTATTTACTGGCTTTTTTTTAAACTTTATTTTATTTTATTTTTACTTTGCAAAAACTTTCTATCGCTTGATTGACAGGGACCCCAAATGCGAGCGCAGATGTGCGCAAATCTCACCTTGTCGCTTGGCAACGCCCTTAACCCTTGGCCTCCGCCGCCTTTGCAACGGACAAGGAAGGCGAAGCTCCTTCCTTGTCCGTTGAACGGAACGAAAAATAAAGAAATAAAGGAAGGAAGGAAGGAAGGCTTTTTTTTCCTTTTCTTTCCAAAAAGCAGCCGACGTGGGTTGCGGCGGCCCAGGATGATGGGAAAGCTGCAGTCTTTTCTTTTTTTTTTTTAATGGGGAGCCAAGGGTTAAAGCGAGAGAGTTTGTCGCTTCCTAGAGAGGGCCTTTTTTCCCGCCCGCCCCCGCCCACGTCGATGGGGACGGAAATGGGAATGGGGCTCAGTCGTTTCCGGCCCCCTCCGCTTTTGGCCGAAGGAAAAAAGAGACCGTTTGCGTTTGGCGCGTGCGACGTCGTTGGGGGCTCCCCCGCGTGACGGTAGGTGGGCGAATGGGCGACGGGCCGCCTCTGAAGAGAAGCTCGCGTGGCGGTGGGGGGAGGGGGGGCGAAGGATCGGTGGAAGCTTGCGCTGGGCTGGGCTGGGCTGAGGGGAGAAGGAACCGCCGCGGACCCCTCGTTGGGGTAGTATCACCTCGTGGTTATGGAGCCAGGCTCTCTTTATTTCCCCCCCACCTGGCGTTCAGCATCTCCTCCCTATGGCTGCGCCCTGCATTCCGACGGTCCAATAGGGATAGGGATATAGAATAGAAAATAGAGATAGGATAGGGATATAGAAAGTAGAATAGGGATTTAATAGGAATAGAGGAGTAGGAATATAGAATAAAAATAGAATAGGGATAGAAATAGACATAGGAATATAGAATAAAAATAGACCAGAAAGGAATAGAATAGAAATAAAGAGATAGGGGTAGGCATAGGAATCTTCTTTCTTCACACACACACACACACACACACACACACAATACCACTCACACGTTATCACAAAATCTCCCCTTGGCTTCCAGGTGCTCACTAAGAAAGGATTTTTCAAAATGACCATCAGGGC